GGCAAAAATTAGGTACTATGTTGTAGAAGGTAGTAAATCTCCAAATGGCAAAGTTTATAAATCAGAATCAAATTGTTGGCTAGAAAGCTGGTATTCTTCTTGTAAAAGTGAAAATTGTTTGGATTTAGAATTTGTCTTGTGATAGTGACTCTTGGGCAGCATTGTACCCAATTTCTCAAGCGCTGACAACAACTAGGCATGGCCCAGAGAGGTACAATCTGTGCCAAGTTTCAATGAAAACGAATTTAATTCATTTTGAAAATTTGAGTGATTGAACCTAGGTTAGCTCCACCAAAAACACGCTAGCTTGCCTGGCCATGTGAGATAGGAAGACTGATTTTTGGAGCTGCTCCTTACATGTTTTGAAGATGACCATGGGTTTCCCTCTCAGATAGAACAGAGGTCGTTAAACCAGAATGGTCTAAGAAAGGAGTCATGAGTCGTAGCACAAAAAATATATAAATGGTAAAGATTTTGGGGGGTGATGGGGTGGATGGGTATGCACCTTGAGAGCTAGCTCTGAATTTGATTGTACAGAATATACACATTTTTAGGCTGGTTCTGAGGTCACTTGAAAAACAAAATTACTGGGGCCAGCCCCAATTCCAGGTACATTGAACCCCCACCCCAGAAGAATGCACTACAGAGGACAGCACCAAAGATATAGCCTGGGGAGAGTAGCAGGTCTGCCCAGACCACAGGCAAGCAAACAAAGAGGGAGAGGGAGAGAGGGAGGGAGAGGGAGAGAACTGCATCCTGGCCTGTCAAGCCTAGAGGATGACATTCCTGCTCAGAGCAGCCAATGCACAGAGAGGGCTGGCCCCACCAGGCACACAACATTGCCCCCACTGAACCACAGTGCTACTGGGGGACAGCACTGGAGACACAGGGTGGGAATTGTGCGGGGTCTGAGAGCCACACACCTATCCCCCCCACCGCCCACTGGGGCAAACCATGAAGGGAGTACAACAGCAAGGGGAGCAAAGCAACGAAGTCCCCGAGGAATACCGAAAATAGGACTTCTGTCTTGCGGGGCTTGGCATCTCATCGGACCCGATCAGAACACATTCATAAAGGTCAGCAGACAGACCTGAAACCATTTATAGGCTCCCCCCACTGTCTATCTATATAAGATAGGCAGGATTGTTTACAATCCTAAGGAGTAAACAATAGGACTGATGGTTTTGTTGGACATGGGAGAGGAGGAAGTGGGGGGAGGGGGGACAACAAACCCAGAGACAAGGGGACAACAAGAGATCTAAAATTGATGGTGAGGGGGCTATAGAATGCCTGGTGGGGTTTGATCAAGTGCAATGTAGCAAAGAGGAATTACTGAGAGCCAAATGAAGGTTGAACATGATAGTGGGACAGGAGGAAAGTAAAAGGAAATAGAGGAAAGAACTAGGAGGAAAAAGACATTTATAGAGGTATAAATATAAGCATTATATGTAAAAATGTATTAATATATAAGGGTAGTGATATAGGTCTATATATGTATATATTTATATGTTAAGTATTAAGGTAATGGACACTGGGCCTCTACTCAAGTCCTCCATAATTGCAAAAACACTTTGTTCTATTAACCTATCATTCTGTGATGCTCACCATCCAGACACGATCACTGAAGTCAAGCAAATGTGGTGAAGAAAGCTGATGGTGCTTGGTTATTACAAAATAACTATAATAACTTGGTTATTACAAAATGACTGGGACCTTAAAGGCTTGAAGTTAAATAAGTGCCCATCTAGCCTGGAAGCACCAAAGCCCACATGTAAGAAGCACACGAGCCTGTGTGATCATGAGGTGTCAACGGGAGCAGGTATCAGGCTTCGGAAGACCCAAAACAATCATATCGAAGTCAATGACCCAAAGCCCATCTGTAGACATTTGGACATCCCTCACAGAAGCGTCACCCAGAAGGGATGACTCAGCGAGGGTGCAATACAGCACTGACAAAACACACAACATTACTCTAATTCTTTAATGCTCCCCCCACCCCCCACACTATCATGACTCCAGTTCTACCTTATAAATCCAGCTAGACTCAATGCAGGTACACTGGTATAGATAAGAGCTCTGGGCACATGGAATCCAGGACAGATAAACCCCTCAGGAACAGTAATGGGGGTAGTGATGCCATGTGGGTAGGGGGACCGAGGAGGGAGAAGAGGAAGAAAGGGGAACTGATCACAATGATCAACATATAACTGCCCCCCACCCCAACCCTTGAGGGAGACTAAGAACAGAAATGTGTGTGAAGGGAGACAGTGGGCAGTGTAAGATATGAAAATCATAATTATTTATAATTTATCAAGTGTCCACAAGGTTGAGAGGGTAGGGACAGGAGGGAAAAAAGAAGAGCTGATACTAAGGGCTCAAGTAGAAAGAAAATGTTTTGAAAATGATGATGGCAACATATGTAAAAACGTGTTTGATACAATTGATGTATGGGTTGCTGTAAGAGCTGTATGAGCCCCCAATAAAATGATTTATAAAAAAAGACAACCCCAAAATACTTAGTGTTCCAAATCATGTATGATTTCCTAAGCTTCAGTTGAAATAATGTGAGAGATGTTTTTTCTCTGCATCATTAGATGCATAGGGTTGAGAGTGGCCACTGGCTGAAAGTAGCTTGCAGTTCTACTGCCCCTGATGGTGAGAGAGCCAAGGGATCTTTCCACAGCAAGGCTTCCATCACCAACACTTACTCATGGAACAGAATCAGGCACTTCCTCTTCCATCTAATTTCCCTTATTGGCGGTCACCTGGAAAGTGAGGCAGCTCTGTCAGGTGTTGACAACCCAAGACTGTGATGTTTGTCCCTGACTTGGTCAGGAACATATTTCCAAAAGATCTAATTCTTGCAACAAAGGAAAATGGACCGATTTGCTCTTAAACTCTTGGTGAATGTACTATATCTCGGGTGGTGGCTTCTATGACACAGGGCAGCTTGCTCCTTCTGTGGAATCTCAGCTCTGATAGATGGTGATCCCCGAGGTGTCAACTTTATGTTCCCAGTCAAAAGAATAAAGTAAAGTCCTACCTCACTGCCTACAGAACAGGGAACAGCTGCCCCTGTGGGTTTTCGGGTCTGCAACAACGAAAGAAGACTTCCCCGAATATGTTCCTTATGATAACTTCCTGAAGCATTTTTCCTCTTATAAGAGTAACAAATGCCCGTTCTGAAATTAACGGAAAAGCAGAACGTAACTAGACCAGTAGAAAGAAGATAATGATTTCTCCTGATTCCACCAAATTTTAACAACCATCGCAGCATTTAACATGTTTCTTTTTAAATCTTTTCCTTTGCATGTTTTAAATAGCCAAATCCATTTATTTATATGGATAAAATGCACTCTGTTGTTTTCCGTTAACATTACAGTCAACATATTTTCCCTTATCATTAAAAAATACATGATTGAATGCGTGTTATGACAGACCATGCTAGGACCTGAACACGTGCAACCCCGTCTTTTGATTTATTCTCCTCCCATCTCTTTGAGATAAGTAATAACATGATCTACCCTTCTTTCAGACAAGGATGCTGAAACTCAGAGAAGTTCAATAAGTCGACCCTTATTGAACACATTAAAGAACAAAAATGGAAGCAAGGCTCACTGCCACTGAGTTGATACTGAGTCACAGGACCCTTTGGGCCAGGGCAGGACTGCCTGTGAGTTCCCAACACTGCCATCCTGACTCGAGCAGAAAGCCCAGCTCTCTCCCAGCTGCACGTGGAACAGCTGGAATTCCAGCCCTGGGCTTTCTTATTTGTACTCCAGTCTCTGCACTCCACCTCACCATTTCTCTTGTGTCGGCCATTCTCCCGATATAACGATGTACTACACCATTGGCACATGTTTTTTTCCTGTATTTTGCTTGACATTTTTTGGATGGAATTCCAAAAGTGGAGGTTTTGGTTCAAAGAATGTAAACATATTACATATTCTTAAAATACTTATTGTGGGAAAGCTTTTATTTCAGGGAAATATTTTTCTAATATTTTCTATGACTCTGTCTTACTTTCAGCATTGCTTCACTTGACCTGTGGATTGGATTCTTCATTTTTCTCACATTAATTTGGTTTCTAAAAGGAACTCACAAGGTTTTCTTTTGTCCTTCCAGTTATACCAGCAACTACACAATTTATCTTAGAGTCTAACAAAAGTATACATTTTTTAGCCTGTGTGTTTAATAACCTGACTGCCTTTGGTGGGCAAATAGGGAGGTCTGTAGCATTTCTAGGTAATCAGACACACAGGTTGTGTTTAAGAAGTTTTAAAATTTTGAATATGAGAAAGGACTTTCAAATAAAGAATGTGAGATATTTTTTACTTAGAACAAGGTTTGATGTGAATGTACGTATTATTTTTAAAACTCAGTAAAATGACTCAGGTGCTTAATTGTTTGTAATGCCAAAGTACCATGACAGTCCCCCCCCCCCCCACTGAAACAGGTGCCTATTTTACCATCCATTCTACTTCTGTTTTGCTCAGGTCTGCCTCTTTTGGTTCAAAGAACAATCGCACGGACAATTGTACTTCAGGAAATAGTGGGGAAAGGGAAATTTGGTGAGGTGTGGCATGGAAGATGGTGTGGGGAAGACGTGGCTGTGAAAATCTTCTCCTCCAGAGATGAAAGATCTTGGTTTCGTGAGGCAGAAATTTACCAGACTGTTATGCTGCGACATGAAAACATCCTTGGTTTCATTGCTGCTGACAACAAAGGTATATATTCCATCTAATTGGGTCCAGCAAGTAAGCGTGTTATGCCTGCTATCAGATGAGAGCACATAAATTAAACTCTGTATTAATAGGAAAAGGCCCTAAAAAAGTTTGTGATAAAAATAAAAAGATAATGGGACATTTTGAAGGCAAAAAAGTTTTGAAGACTTTGCAAAGTCTGTGTCAAAATGCACTTTTCCTGTTGTGGAGAATAATGTGTCATATGAAATTATGATGATTGTGGTAGTTACATAATTTCATGTCAACTTGATGATATATAAAGTGTAGGGGTGGTATTCAACCTGTCAATCAGGTCACCGCCTGATGGTATCTCCTTGTGGGCATGGCCTTCTCATGAGCAGTGCCCAGGGAGACCTCTGCTCTCTTTTTCTCTGCCTTCACCCTCCTGCTGGTGGACCCTGGTTCCTGCCAGAACCCTGGAGATGTGTCCACGACCATTGGTTCCACAAGACATTGCACCTACCAGCCTGTGTTATTTCTGCATTCTGCATCATTGCATGTGGCTGCGTGAGTCCGAAGAAGGACTTATGGACTAGTATCAGACTTACGGACTTGAGTTGAACTGGGCTGGGATGTTTATAATTAACTTCTTGATATAAAACTCTTTCTTACTCATATATGAGTGTCACTGGATTTATTCCTCCAGTCAACCCGGCCTAACACAATGATACTACATAAATACTTGCTGACTCATATGTTACCAGAACCAGCCAATCACAATGGAAAACAGAGCTGGACCAGCCCCTGGGGAAAAGGCCTGCAAGGTTTTACTTCTTTGGTTACCGAGCGAAGAAGCAATCTGGAAGTGTCTGGGAGGGTAGTGGGAAGACTTTGGATTCTGGGCAAAAGAGTGCCATTTGGAGGTTTTAATGAATACCTGTTAACTAGCGAGGAGAAAAGTATTTCCGATCGATACAGGCCAAGCTGTAAATGCCCCCTGAATACTCACTCTTGCTTGAACTGCACTTTTCCTCTGTATAACAGGTTTCATTTCCATGACTCGGGTTTTCAATGAGCATTATCTCCTTAGCTTGTGTTAAGAGTGGCAGCAGGCAAGACATTTTTAGTGAATTTTTTGTTCATGTTTCTTTATGCATCGTTTATATTTTAAGGTTGAATGCTGAGCCCCCAATAGTATTACTGTTTGAGTTTCATGGAGCTGACAGAGCATTAACGTTCAGGTATTTAAATCAGTGCTCATAAAATATCTATCCTTGAGTAACCCAAGTACAAAATTTGTGCATTTTCCGTCCTCTTTTTCTTCCATAGCTTTACTCATTTCATTGTGCCTTTTAAAATGTCCTTTCAAAAAAGAAATAGGGAAAAAGCAAGAAAACCTCAATCCAGCCCTTATTTACTTATTTTTTCCTACTTCATATGGTAGTACACCAAGAACAATTTTGATGAGGCAGACAACATACTATTTATCCTAAAAAGGTATGAAACAATTTATCTACGGTCATCAGGGATCCAGTCGGACTTAACCTGAGGAAATCCCAACCCCACAGTTATTTTTATTTGGTATAAAGTTGATCATAAAGTTACTCACTTGTAAATAGATGGTTGGGAAAGGCTTAGCATTTGTTTGTACATTTGGGCCATCATTATGTTTGCTAACGAGTTTTCTTTCCTGATTTAGTAGGGTCCTGGGAGAAGAAGGAGCCCTGGTGGAGGAGTGCTTGCTGGTGGGCTGAGAACCGTGAGGTCCGCAGTGGAAACCGCCAGCTGCTCCAAGGGAGAAAGATGGGGCTTTCGATGCCTGTGAACATTTACAGTCTCAGAAACCCACAGTGTCCTATGGGGCCACTGTGAGTCGGCCTCCACTCAATGGCAATGAGGGGAAAGTGAATAAAGGGAGATTGGCATACAGTCTTTCAAAATTGTAGCTCAATATACTTTGAAACTAATATGGACTATTGAAAATGTGACTTTTTCTCATTTAACTAGTACGAAATTTCATTTTCCCTTATCTTGGGCCGAATTATCTAAGGTTCAAAGCTGAGTTTATATGAGCTCAAACTTTTCACAAAGGTGTCAAAGCTGTCGTGACTATGGCTATGTGGACCATCTTGGTGTGGTTGAATTAATCATATTATTTATCGGATTACAAAATAGCATGCTCAAAAGAGCTCAGATAATGATTTTTATTCTGCTGAGTTTAATCTTTGATGTTCTTACTTTAAGAACTAGGATGTGTGTGACCCAAGCCAGGGCATTTTTAATTACCTCATGTGCATGTGGAAGTTGGATACTGAATAATAAAGACGGAAGAAAATGGATGCATTTGAATTACAGTGCTAGCGGAGAATATTGCAACACTGTGGACTGCCAAAAGAACCAAGAAATCTGTCTTGGAAGAAGTACAGCCAGAACACTCTTTAGAGGCAGAGATGGTGTGATTTTGTCTCCCGTACTTTGGACATGTCAGGAGAGACCAGTCCCTGGAAAAGGACATCATGCTTGATAGAGTAGAGAGGCAATGGAAAAGATGACCTTGGACACTACGGATTGACACAGAGGCTACAACAAGGGGCTCAAAGTTAGGAACAATTGTGAGGATGGCCCAGGACCAGGCAGTGTTTTTATCTGTTGTGCAGAGGGTCCCTTTGGGTCAGAACTGACTTGGGTGCACCTAACAATGACAACAACAACCACCACTTTTGTGAGATCCTTACATGTCCGTGGCAGTAGGAATGATGACATGTGACATTACTTTCATCTGCATGCATGCTATCTTTTGCAAGACTTACGGTTACACTTTTTAGTCATCTTCCTGATGACAGCGCTGACATGACGGTAAAGATGGCCAAGTTGGAAGAGAGATCTCAGGAGGATTCGTTTTGTTATGTGGTCAGTTCCTTGGCGAATGCCATCCTGTTATGTTGACCCTGGCAATTCTAGGAGCCATTATTGTCACCTGGACTAAGAACACATGTATTTGAGTAATGAGCAGCTCATCTTCATAGCGCACCTGACAGAAAGTGCTTTTTAACAAAATGTTCATTATAGTCTCCTTTCCCTGAGTGTCAGAACACGTCAGAACTACCCTGCACTTTATTCCAAAGGCTAACTCAACTCTGGGTACTTGAAAACATATTTAAGCTGATTAATTTTTGGATAAGTAAAGGATGTTATTTGAAAATACCTAGTAGCTGTGCTTGACACTGAATATAAACTTTTGGGGAAAAGGATCAACTTCATCTTTGGAAAGGTTAAAAGTTTTTGACAGTGATAATATTTGGCCAAATGTTTTATATTTTTGATTTTTCTTAGTAAAATCTTCTTACAGGTTCACAATAAATTGCAACCCAACCCTGAGACTAGATGCATTTCTCAGTGGTTTCTCTTATCGTATGGTTGCTATTGCCAGTAAATATTAGCATAAAAACTCCAATCTCATTGCCATCATGTCAATATTGGCTCATTACGACACCCTATGACTGTTTATGAGACTGTAAGTGTTTATGGGAATTAGAAGCCCAGCCTTTCTCCCAAAGAGCTGCCGGTGATTTTGAACTGCTGACCATGTGAATCGCAGCTCAAAGTGTAACCATAACCCAACCAGGGCTCCAGTAGATATTGGTATTGAGAAGATTGAAATTGAATTATTTTGTAGCTAGAATCATTGCTTCATGGGTACAAATACCAGCAAAGCTATTATGGGTGCAATATATTAACAAAGCGTCTTGGTGGCGCAGCAGTTAACTGCTCAGTTGATAACCGAATGACTGGCAGTTTGAGGCCAGGCCCTGTCGATCTGCTCCTGTCAAGATTTCTTCTTGGAAACTTTGGGGACAGCTCTACCCTGTCCCTTGGGGCCACTATGAGTTAGAGTCAACTTGGTGTCATACAACAATAGCAATAACAATATAGCAACATCTTTAGGAATTCTGGGGTTTTGTTGTTGTTGGCCTTGATTTATTTTTAAAATCTTTTTATTGCGATTTGGATGAAGGTTTACCCTGAAGGTCCTGAGCATTTCCTAACTTAAACTGCTAAGATTATCACTAAATGAATTAATGTTGCTTTATCACAGTACAAAGTCACTTCAATCACTGGCAATTGTTTCTTTGGCCTATATGAACAGCAATAAAATGATTTCTTCCCCTAATTTGGCAGCAGAAATGGGTAATGGTCACACAGCATGATCAATGCAATCAATGTCATTGAACTGAACCTGTAAAAACATTGAATTGGCAAATGTTGTTTTAGTCATATTTTTCCACAATAATTTGTTTCCCCTGACAGATAATGGAACTTGGACTCAACTTTGGCTTGTGTCAGAATATCATGAACAGGGATCTTTGTATGACTATTTGAACAGAAACATAGTGACAGTGTCTGGGATGATTAAGCTGGCACTTTCAATAGCTAGCGGGCTGGCGCACCTGCACATGGAGATTCTTGGTACCCAAGGTATTTAGTCTCTTTCTAATTTATTTTTCTCCTTGAGTATGCGAATAGAAACATTATCTTGTATTTTGGTGTTTGGGTATTTCTTAGTTTATTATAACTAACTATCAATTTAGAGAAACACAAAAGTTACTTTATAAGCTGACAGTTTTGTTATGATTTGGTTAGCTCTTGCCATGAGGAGACTCCAGTTACTCACAGCTTCATCTTTGCCATTTAGCTTACATGTCTGGGGAGTCTTTCTGTGGGGGTAAATCATAGTTAGAGGATCCAATGATGTAAATGTTTATCCTTGTATAAAAATAAGTGGAAAAGCTAAGGTGGCCTTAAAGAAAAAAATATGCGGCATGTACTTGGAAGCCATATAAGACCCAATCACTTTTCTGTTTATTGTGTTAATATCAAACTTTAGTGGAAGCAATTGTATTCAAGTTGTCACTAATTCTTAAAAAAATATTGAAAATCTCTCCAATTTTTTTGTATATAAATATCATATCTATCTATTAATATTTGCCATGTTAGAAATAAAATGGAAAAATTTTTTAAAGTAACCACAGTAATACTAAGTAAACACCAATCTAGTTTTCTTAGTATTTTATTTTGTAATGCCAACACTTTAATGAAAATAACAATTTTCTTCTACAGTTTTATAAATCTCATTTATGTCTGGATTTTTATATCTTCTAGATTCAGGTTTTTTATAATACTTTGTTTTGGTTGGAGTCTATGAAGAAAAGCTGCCGCAGAGATGTAGTTGGGAAAGGGTTTCCAAGAACCCCTCTTTGAGTCATAGTTAAGAATCACTGGTCTGAAGTAGCAGAGGTTTGAAGTGGTTCATCAGCAAATGTTCATTAGTGCCCACCACATGCCACGGAGAAGGTCACTGTCCTCAGGCAGCTTACAGTCTATATTGGAGCAACAGATAATACATCCACGCATACATAAAGGAGATCATTTAGATCACGAAAGTCACAGTGAAGGGAGTAAGATGGAGTATGGTGATGGAGATGAGGGGGGCTGTCAGGGAAGAGTTTTTTGAGGAGGTGATATTTATCTTAAAGAGACTTGATATTCATTAAAAAGCATGAATATTATTTCCTTCTGTTTCACAGGCAAGCCTGCTATTGCTCATCGAGATATAAAATCAAAAAATATCTTAGTGAAAAAATGTGAAACTTGTGCCATAGCTGACTTAGGGCTGGCTGTGAGGCATGATTCAGTACTGAACGCCATTGACATACCTCAGAATCCTAAAGTGGGAACCAAGAGGTAAGATGAATTACTTCAGTAATGTATAAGGCCTCTGCTTACCCTCAGGCCAAGTCTCACTTGTGGGAACCCCATGTGTGTCACAGTGGAATTGGGCTCCATAGAGTTTTCGATGGCAAATTCTTTGAAAGTAGATAACCAAACCTTTCTTCTCAGAAAACAGGGTGGACTTGAACTTTCAACCTTTTTGTTAGCAAATAAGCACATTAACTGTTGCATCAACCAGGGACTGTGTATAAGATGTAGAACTTCCCAATAAGCATGGATTCCTGGGATATTGTATAGAGGGGTTGGATCAGAATGGCAAATCATTAGGTCTAAGAAAGAAGTTTCTAACGGTCCTCAAGAGATGAGTGGTCACAGCGGTTATAAAACAAGGAGGAGTGTTTGACTGTGTAGAATGGTGGAAGAGCTGGAATTATGTTAGGTTGAGAGTGCACATACCATGAATGCACTTGACCCTAAATTGGAAAAGAAGACATCAATAGTGTATAACTTCCCCAAAGCCTTTATAGCTCAAAAATGAATGGTTAGTATGAACATTTGTGACCCAAAGGGATCACAATAGGAGTGCCTGGATAGAGTGGAAGAAAAAATGTACAACAAAACTCAAAATAATCAAAAAGGTCATCCTTACTGGCCTGGTGGACACTGAGGGAACTCCTGAAACTATGTCCTATAGACACCTGTGTGAGCAGGGTTCTCTAGAGGAGCCAGACCAGGACACTTATGGATAGATGATAGATGGATAGATGATAGGTGATAGATAGATAGATAGATAGATAGATAGATAGATAGATAGATAGATGATAGATAGA